CTAGTAAATTTGTATTTGGCTATGACACATCTACCAGCCACTCCTTGGAAGGAAGATGAGGCAATCTACTTCCGTAGTGATACTGCCTCGGAAACCCAAGGAGGGGTGTCACTATGAGTCGGGTCCAACTCGACAGCACACAACAACAACAACAACATGACATATCTAGGTGCTCTGGTAGTGTAGTGCCTAAGGCACTTGACTGCTAACCAGAAGGCTGGCGGTTCAAACCCACCAGCCACTCCTTGGAAGGAAGTTTGGGCTATCTACTTCCGTAGTGATACCACCTCAGAAACCCAAGGAGGGGTTGCTATGAGTTGGGTCCGACTCAACAGCACATAACAACAACAACATGACATATCTGGTGGCACAGTGCCTAAGGCATTTGATTGCTAACCAAAAAGCTGGTGGTTCAAACCTACCAGCCACTTGGCAGAAGGGAGAGGGGGCAATCTACTTCTGTAAAGATTTACTGCCTCAGAAACACAATGGTGGTCGCAATGAGTCGGAATTGACTTGATGGCAGTGGGTTTGGTGTTTTTGGGTATGATATATCTGACAAGGGATTTATCTCTAAAATTTAATAGAAAACTCCAACACCTCAACATCAAAAAGACAAATAATCCAATTCAAAAATGTGCAAAGGACATGAACAGACCACTATAAAAGATTTACAGGTGGCCAACAAACACATGAGGAAATGCTCATGATCATTACTCATTAAAACCAAAACCAAACTCACTGCTGATGAGTCAGATCCGATTCACAGTGATCCCTCCTTGGGTTTCCAAGGTGATATCACTATGGAAGTTAATTATCCAATCTTCCCACTAGAAAGATGCAAATCAAAACAATGAGGTATCATCTCATTGCAGCAATCATAGCAAAGCTCACCAAGACAGAAAATAACAAATGTTAGTGAGGGTGTGGAGAGATTGGAACTCTCATATGCTGCTGGTGGGACTGTAAAATGGCACAGCCATTGTAGAAAACAGTATGGCTTTTCCTTAAAAAACTGAAAATAGAAGTACTGTTTGATCCAGCAATTCTATTACTAGGAATATATCCTAAAGATGTGAGATCCAGGACATGAATAGATATACATATGCTCAGGTTCACTGATGCACAAATCACTATACCAAAGAGATGGAAACAACCTAAGTGGCTATGATGAATGGATAACCAAACTGTGGTACATTCACACAATGGTATACTATGCAACATTAAAGAATAGTGAAGAATCCATGAATTACCCACAATGTGGATGAATTTGGAGGATATTGAGTGAAATAAGTCAATCACAGAAGGACAATTTAAAATTGGTGGCATAGTGCCTAAGGCATTTGACTGCTAACCAGAAGGCTGGCAGTTCAAATCCACCAACCACTCCTGAGAAGGAAAATTGGGCAATCTACTTCCATAGAGATACTGCCTTGGGAACCCAAGGAGGGGTCGCTATGAGTCGGATCCAACTCCACAGCAATGAGTATTATTGTAAAAATTCTAGGAAAGGTTTACACAGAGGAGGAAATTCGCTTTGTTGGTTACCTGGGATGGGAGGGAAAATTTCGGACTAATTGGAGGTCACATGTTGATTTGGGTGAGGGGTGGGGCAGTATGGCAAGGATGTGTGACCAGCATGGTGACAATGGGGAAAGAGAGGACACAGAAACATGCACAAAAGATACAGACAACAAAAGCAAATACTATTACATGCACAATACTGCATTACCAGTGGCAGCAAACACAAGTCTACGGGTAAATGCATAGACAGGTGAGAAGATCAGGGATGGACAGGCAAATAGGAATATACCCAAGACCAAGGATACATTTGGCTGAAGACAGTCTTGCATATATACTTGTGCCACAAAATTATCCACATACATTACAGAAGTAATAGAGGACAAGGTTGGAGTAGCTTCTCAGAGATAACCAAATGCCCTGAAAGAGAAAATCACTAGGCCTGCAGGCTTAGGACGATAGTCTTGGGGGACATCATGCTCAATTGGCACAATATAGTACATAAAAATCTTGTCTGACAGCCTACTTTGGTGAGCAGCAACCAGGGTCTTCAAAGCTACCAAGCAGCCATCTAAAATGCATCTATTGGTCTCCTGTCATCTAGAGCAAAGAGTGAAGAAAACAAAAATCATTTGGAAACACTTAATTCTAAGATATGATGGATCATGAGGACCTCAGACCTTCATGACCCTGAGACCAGAAGAACTAGATGGTGCCCAGCTACCAATGCCAACCACTTGGAAAAGGATCAATATTGGAGATCTGAATAGAGTGGGAGGAAAAATGTGGAACAAAACTACAAAACACAAAAATGACAAGAATTACTGGTTGGATAGAGACTGGTAGGCCCCCGAAACTATGGCCCCAAGTTATCCTTTGGGCCTGGAAATGGACTCACTTCTGGGGATTAGCTCATAGCCCAACAATAGAAAGATCTACAGACAGAACACCTACCCCAGGGAGATACATCCACCTATCCTAGGGAGATATACCCCTTATATCATTCAACCATAAGATATCAGAAGGGCAGCATTCACATAGAGGGAAAGTAGGACAGACAGGAATGCAAAGATAAGAGGGCACGGGGAAGGGGTACTCACAGGGAGGAGACAGGCAAAGACCTTTTTATGGCTGAGGATTGTTAACTGGGCCTGTGAAACCAAATGTGCATGAACAAATCTGCTTTGTAAATTTGCACCCAAATCACAGTAAAAAATAGAAAAAAAAAAAAAACCAACTGTAGGTCAAATGCTCTGATGGGGATCATAACAGAAGGTCCAAGACAGAGTGGAAGACAAATGGAAAATAAAACTCAAAATAATAAAAAAAGACCAGTGTTATTGGTCTCACAGAGACTGGTGTAATACCTAAAGACTATGGCCTTGAGAAACACCCTTCAAACCTGGAACTCAACCCACCTCCAGGGACCACCTTTCACCCAAATAATAGACAGACCTATATAGTGAATAATAACACCCATAAAAAATGTATTCCTTAGAACAATCAACCATACAAAAATACTTTTTCCCAAAAACAAAGTTCAAAAGGCAGAATGTGGTAGAAAAGAAGGATAAATGGAAATGATGAACCCAGGGAGAAAGGAGGAAGAATGCTGTGAAATTGAAAGCATTGCAACTAATGACACAGAACGAAATGTGTATAAATTGTTGAATGGACAACTGATTTGCCCTGTAACTTTCACCCAAATCACAATAAAATGTTCACATTAAAAAAAAAAAAAAAAAAAACCTAGCAAATTTATAGCTGTACAATACATTAACACGAAAACTGATCTCCTACTAATGCAAAACTCTGTAATTACCACCGAGAAAAGTTCTGTCTAGTATACTTCCATGTTTTGGAAAGTAAAATAATCTGATTTTATGCCATTTAAAAAATCTAAAATGTTCCATCAAAAAAAAAAATATTGTTTCGATCAGACTACATACTCTCACACAAATATGAAGTCATGTGAACCAACTGACCAAGAAAAGCACCCATTTCCACATACTTTACCCACAGGATCTCTATCTTGAAAGTGACAATCTTCTGATCCTTTAACAGGAAATAGATCCTGAGTGTCTTTTTAAGGGAGTAAAAAACTTACCAAAACAAATTGTTTTATTAGTCACAGGACATTTACTAACATTCAGAGAGCTGCCAGGAATGAAAAATGTAAAGTAAAATGAATGAAACGTTAGACTGAGAGATCAGCTGATAAAGATAAAACACAAAAGGCTCAGATGGAAGGGGGCTGCTGCATGCCAGGCTGCACTGCTATACCATCAAGATGTTCATGGTCTATAAAGGGTTGCAGGTGCAGAAAAAGGGGAGCAGTGTAGTAATAAAATATCTATTTGGTACTGTTTAAGCAAAAACATAGTAAAACCAACAAACTTGAGGTACTAAAAACCAAGGATAAATAGGAACTCAATGAAATAAAAAACCTAATGGTAAAACTTTACTAGTACCATAAACAAATCTTTTGGACCATAGCATCATATTAAAAATTAACTTAAAGTTTTAAAGTTCGCTAAATATTAACACTAAATAATAGATCACATGATTGCTACAAGATGTGTTTTTTCATACAGATAGAAAATTCAGACAGAGAGATAATAATATACAGATAGACAGGAAGACACACAGAATGAATTTTAAAAGTTTGATTAGCCAATCAAACCCACTGCCATCGAGTTGCTCCCGATTCATAGTGACCCTATAGAACAGAATAGAACTGCCCCATTGTTGTTGTTGTTGTTGTTATGTGCCGTGGAGCCCCGACTCATAGCGACCCCTCCTTGGGTTTCCGAGGCAGTATCACTACGGAAGTAGGATTGCCCAACCTTCCTTCTGAGGAGTGGCTGATGGATTTGAACCGCCAGCCGTCTGGTTAGCAGGCAAGTGTCTTAGCCACTATGCTACCAGAGCTCCCAAAATTGTAAATCTTTATGGAACCAGACTGTCTCATCTTTCTCCTGTGAAGGTTCTAGTGGGTTCAAACCACCAACCTTTTTAGTTAGCAGCCCAAAATTTTAAGCACTGTGCTACCAAAGTTCTGGCCATTCACTACTTAACAATAATTCTTCCCAATCTAGCTCGAAAGTGGACAACAGGTGATTTTTGTTCAAACTTTTGTTCAAAGTCCAACTACAGAAGAAGTCAAGAGAAATGACATATTTGGAGTGAGACTACTTTAATAATTATATTCATTTCCAGAGAACAATAAATACAGAAATTGCAAGTAATACATGTAACAGTAATATTTTCCTTGGATACATAAAGCATCTACTTTTATACAACTGAAGAGGCAAACATTTTTAATAAACTTAGCACTTAGAGAAAGCTACACAAAAGAAGAAAATTATGAGCAAAATTCAAAATTATTTATTCTTCACCCTAAATACTGAGATTCTCACTCCAGGTACATGTTCACAAGTAAAATGGGAAATCTGGAAATTCAAAGATGAGAGCAGAGTTCAGCTTCGGGCAGCAGCTGTCTGAGGCTGCTCAGATTGCAGCTGTTTGCCAAGATATTCCCTGAAAAAGAGAAGTAAAATAATGAGGGAAATTAGAATTTCAATGACAAAGAATCTTTCAAAACTGAAGCACTGTATACACTGTCATATATACTTGCATTCTAAAAAAATGTATTTCAGTAGACATAATAAAACAGCCTAGAAAATGAAACTTTTCCACATTTCAAACACCTGGATTTTATGAATGCTACAGTTCTCGTTCTATATATGGGTCATCCATGCACTCTATTGAACCTGCACACATAAAGAAGTAATCACAAAACTGCATCATTATTTCTCCAGGAAGGTCTACCTTCTTGTTCAGGTAAAAGGTCCTCTTTACTGCTGCTGCCACAATGGCAATCCAGGAAGTTAAAAAATCAATGAAAGTATTGGTCCACGTAAGTAGACTGACACATGATAAATCTCCTGATGTAGTGAATGCAAGTATCTTCAGTCTGGGGTAAATTACAAGAACAGATGAACTTAAATAACTGACACAATACCAAGAATAACAACATTTGTAGGAGCTCTCTGTATCAAGCACTTCCACAGGTATTGTCCAAGAGCCTTCATGGAAACTGTCATATTTAATCCACAGAACAGTCACAGAACCAAGGGGTACTACTCTCATTTACAGATGGGGCACTGACAGATCATTTACTGATAGCCCATTTTTTAGATCATGTTCTCTTCCTCAAAAAAAAGAGCATGTTCTTACAATGTGTATATTGAGTTCTAAATTAACTATGTTGTTGTTGTTGTTGTTATGTGCCATCGAGTCAAACCCGACTCATAGCGACCCCTCTTTGGGTTTCCGAGGCAGTATCACTACAGAAGTAGGATTGCCCAACCTTCCTTCCGAGGAGTGGCTGGTGGGTTTGAACCGCCAGCCATCTGGTTAGCAGGCAAGTATCTTAGCCATTGTGCTACCAGAGCTATAGGTACTCATTAATCCCAGCACAGAAAACAGTGGTTTCCCCACTTTTCACGGAAGAAGTAGCCCAAACCTCTGTTTTAGAAGCAACTGACCAGGCAGTGTTTCCTTCTGTTGTACAGAATTGACTTATACCTAACAACACCTAACAACAACAACAACGGAAGAGAGAGATTTCAAAAAGAGTATCAAGAGTCTCTCCAATAAAAAAGAACAAAGAAAACAGTGTGAGGGCTCAAGAGGTCATCTGACATTTCTGGGTCACGGTGCCTGCTGAGACAACTTCACAAGGTCATTTCGAGGCTGAGAGAACTGATGCATGGAGGTACATGAGCGGAGCCTGACGGGCAGTGGGCAAACTCTTGTCAATGTCTTCCACCCCACCCCTACCATCAACTAGCCATCCAGTGTCTTCTAACACTCCCAAGAAACAGCCCTGGGTGCCACCAGCCCTGACTTATGGGTTTGACTCTGCTTTTCTCCACAGTTACAGAATAAGGGAAGAGGAAGAGCCTAAATATTTTATCTACCTGCTCTCCCCTCTGAAATTACAGCCTCAGTCCAAGCAAGAATGAGAGGAGAAAGAGGAATTCTGAAAAGGAAAGCAGTGGCACAGGGCCTGGTAATGAGATGTCCACTGACCTGAGACCTCCTGGGAACTTAAGAAGCTGAAGCAGGACTGAAAATACTGGAAGACCAACCAAAACATCCTACAGCATGAAGATTGTTTATGGTCTTTTTCATCCTTATGAGAAACTTCTCATTAATTCTGGATGTCATGTTAAAGATATGCTTCTTTTAACTAAGAGTTGTCCTTAGATAATTTCAAAAATTGTGATCTTATTTCCAATCAACTGTAAGTAAATAGTCCTGATTTATTGAAAGGTCAATAAGGGAAACCATCCAATAAATTTTATTAGACAATGAAGAAATACAAGAATTTATAGTCACTGTTAATGATGCCACTCCTGAGAGCAGACTGCAACCAGAGTATATGTAACTGCCTTGGTTTGTCTTTATTTTGGGGGAGGGGTTGGCAAGTGGGGGAATAGGTTAATATTTACTGCAAATTTTCCAGATCTATATATATATATATTACCTCCACATATGCAAGGAAACTAGATACACTTCATGTCAACAAAGTCTTCAAATATTCTAATTTTGAATGCTAGACTGTATAGTGTGATTCTTTAAAAATCATGTTTAAAGTGTACTCAAAGATACCATGCTATCTTCAGTTACAAGAAGCTATAGGTCATTCAGTAAAGGGCCAATGTTAAGGAGCATATTCTCAACATTACTTTGGATGACAAATGGCACATAACATGTTCAAGTGTCCCTGAGCTCAATGCTGTCAACTACTAAGGGACCAGAAGGGTCCCAATGGCTCCATCCTGCTCAGAAACATGAGGGGTGGTTCTCATCAGACTTAACTAATATTTACAGGACAACATGGAATTCCTTCAGGAGAGAGGTTGGAGAGAGAACTGATTTCTTCACAAAAGAGACATTGCTGGAGTAGATGCAAAGTAGAAGGGTATTCAAGCAGAATGATGTGGTGCTGCAGTTCCTCTCCACCAGGTTCTTTTGTTTTCCTGCCCAAAGACATCTATTATGGGTAATGCCCTCTCCCACATCCATATTTTTTTCTATACATCAAGTGGTCCAGAAGGATGCACTGTTTCCTCACTACTTTGATGCATGATTGTAGAGAAACCAGTCCTCCTGTCCCTAGTCGGCTGACCAGGATTTGTGTAATTTAGGATTTGAGGGAAGGACACACATAGATGTAAAGGGGACAATGAAGAATTTTTGCATATCGAGAGCTTCAGACAGAATTTTGTGAGCCCAACTCATAACACTATATGGCACAAATGCCAAAAGTCAACAGGAGAAGAGCCCATCTGGGACCTATACAAAGAAGAATCATATTCTTCCTCAACTTTCTTGAAATTGCTATGTTTGTTATGTGATGTAGACTGTTAAAATATCACAGGGAGCTGAACTGTGTGTGTCTCCCAAAAAGGTACGGTGAAGTCCTAAACCCTCTTCCCCACCTGTGAATGTGAACTTGCTTAGAAATAGGGTCTTTGAAGACGTGATTAAGTTAAAATGGTGTCATTAGGGTGAGCAAGACTAGTGTCCTTAAAAAAAAAGAGACAAAGACACAGAGAAGACAGCCATGTGAAGATGGAGATAGAGACTGGAATGATGCTATCACAAGCCAAGGAATCCCTGGATCCACCTGAAGCTGGAAGAGACAAGGAAGGGTCTTCCTTCAGAGCCTTCAGTGAAGCATGGCCTTCCTGATACCTTGATGTGGGACTTCTAGCTTTTAGAACTGGTGGCGTAGTGCCTAAGGCATTTGACTACTAACCAGAAGTCTGGCGGTTCAAACCCACCAGCCACTCCTCAGAAGGAAGGTTGGGCAATCAATCTACTGCCATAGTGATACCACCACAGAAACCCAAGGAGGGGTCACTATGAGTCAGATCTGAGTCTATGGTAGGTTGGTGGTGGTGGTGATGGTAGCTTTCAGAACAGTGAAAGAGTAAATTTTTCTCATTGTAAGCCATCCAATTTGTGATTTTTATGACAGACCAAGGAAACTAATACACAAGGGTCAACTGAAATAAATACTGTAATGCAGAAAAAAGACCTAGTCTATACAGAGATTTAAGGAACTCTGGTGGCACAGTGCCTAATACTACTAACTAGAAGACTGGCAGTTCAAACCCTACCAGCTACTCCACAGAAGGAAGATAGGGCAATCTACGTTGGTAAAGATTTAGCCTAGGAAATCCAATGGCATTACTATGAGTCAGAATCAACTCAATGGTGGTTTTTTTTTTTTTTTTTTTCAGTTTTATACAGAGCTTTGGAGAAAATTAACTCCTTTGACCTTGGCTTGTGAAACTGTTTGGTTTAATGTCCAATGACAAGATATACTCAGTAAAAAAATTCCCACCACTAAGCAAGGGCACAATGGGCTAATCCCACCTTTGTTGCTAAGTGTCTGGTAAGGCTCAGCATGAATCCAATTCCCAAAGTGTGGAAACTGACAGAGCCCTTACCCTGCCAGTTCTCCATCCTTGTCACCAGCCATTCACGCAGCACACTCTCAATTCTAACCACCCAGATATGGGTTGGAGCTCACAAGTTAGATGAATACTGCCTTTCAGATCAGCTGCCCATGGAGGATATTTTGGACTTAGCCACCCAGAGGTAGGTCAGAACTTACAAATAGGCAGACATCAGTCCCTGCTTGCTCCTACTGCCTCTGTGAGTTCATTAATTCATTGGAATGATTCACAGAATCCATGGAGAGTCCATCATACTTATGGCTATAGATTTATGACAACCAAAAAGGATACAAACAAAGAGACACACATGAGATTTGGGAGAGATCAGAGTGTGAGCTTCCATGTCCCAAAGAGGGAAAACTACCCTCTCTTGTGCATGGTCATCAACCAGGAAGTTCCTCTGAGCCTCAGAGTTCAGGGCTCTTATTGGCTTCCCCATGTGGCCATGATAAGATTACATCATACCTCCTGAGGCTTAGTCAGTATTGACCCCCGATGGTCCCTCTCTGTTCAGTCAGCCCATACTCATTGACCTCAAGTGATGAGCTGGCTCAAAAAAAAAAAAAAAAAAAAAACAGTAACAAAGGCCAAATTATTTTCTACAAGGTGATTTCACACCTTGCATTAATCTTAATCATTTGGGATTCCAACATCCTTGAAACTGATAAAAGGGGCATACATTCACCTACATTGGGATCACTATTCACCTTTGAAAAATATCAAAATACAAAAAAGTCCACAAAAGATATCACACTGTATACTGCAAAAGAGTTTCCACATGACTTCATTCTCCCATCAATGACCATAAAGCACGCACACTTTAGATATCTCTCATAATGCTGAAAAAGCTGCTGGCCAGTTCCTACCATGGCACCCTGAGAGAGCTCAGATTTGATAGCAGCAATCTAAAGATAGTCTTTACTACCCAGGCCTTATTGTGCTGGAAGCAGGATCAGCAGAAAGCCTTAGCCTGAGCAAAATTAACTCTTAGCAACAACCATG